TCCCTTCCTCCCTTCCTCCATCCTTCCCTCCCTCCCTCCCTCCATCCCTTCCTCCCCCTTCCATTCCTTCCTTCCTCCCTCCCTCCTTCCATTCCCTCCTTCCTCCATCCTTCCTTCCCTCCCTTGTTCCTGTCTTCCTTCTTTCCCTCTCCCCTCCCTCCTTCTTTTCATCCTTCTCTCCTTCCTTCTTTCCTTCCTTCCTTCCTTCTTTCCTTCCTTCCTTCCTTCCTTCCACTCTTCCTTTCTTTCTGTACCAGAACTGGAACTCAGGGCCTCCTGCCCACCACTTGAGCCACGCCCCCATCACTGACTTTGCTTTTCAGCGGTTTCCTAGGGATACAGTCCTGTGGGCTCTCCTGCCCAGGCTGGTTTGGATCCGGGCGCTCGGGTCTCAGCCTCCTGAGGGTCTCCGAGGGTCTGGGAGGGTCTGGGTGGATCTGGGCGCTCGGGTCTCAGCCTCCTGAGGGTCTGGGTGGATCTGGGCACTGGGGTCTCGGCCTGCTGAGGGTCTGGGAGGGTCAGGGAGGGTCTGGGTGGATGTGGGCGCTCAGGTCTCAGCCTGCTGAGGGTCTGGGAGGGTCTGGGTGGGCCCTGAGGTGGCGGGGATCCTGGGTGCGAGGTGGGGGGGAGAGCTGGCCCGTGTCCCGCAGAGCATGACTGCAGCCCCTGCGAGTCCCGGTGGCGGTACCACGGCGACAGCTGCTACGGCTTCTTCAGACACAACGTGACTTGGGAGGAGAGCAGACAGTACTGCGCCAACCTCAACGCCTCGCTGGCCAAGGCGGCCAGCCCCGGCGTCCTGGTGAGGAGGCCATGCTGTGTGTGTGCATGTGTGCGTGTGTGTGCTGTGCGTGTGTGCTGTGCGTGTGTGTGTGCATGCATGTAGGTGTGGGGTGGCGTGTGCAGCAGTCCTGGGGCTGGAACGCAGGGCCTAGGCGCCGTCCCCCAGCTCTACGGCTCAAAGCAGGTACTCTACCACTTGAGCCACGGCGCCACGTTGGGCTTTTTGCTGGCTATGGGGGGATGAGCGTCTCACAGACTCTCCAGCCTGAGCTGGCTCTGAACCGTGACCCTCAGAGGTCAGCGTCTCCTGAGCCACCGGCCTCTCCCGGGAAAGCCGTGTGTCTGTGATTCCAGGCACTGTGAGCGCTTGGGGGGACTTCGTTTTCTTCCTTGGAAGAGGCGCTGAGGCCACCGCAGGCCGCGCGCAGGTGGGGTTTTAGGCACACAACAACACTATAATTAGAGCAACAGGCCAGGCCCCAGGTGATGAAGGTCGGCATATAGGAGACTGGTGGGAAGTGCCAGGAGGGAAACCGTATGTCTGAGCTGGTGGTGCACGGCTGCCATCTCAGCAGGAGGGAAACTGAGGCAGGGGGATTTTGCGTTTGAGGCCAGTCTGGGTTAACGACATCGTAAGAATTGGGGAGCGGGGGGAGGAAGAGGCGAAGAAAGAGCTGAAGTGGAGGGAAAAGGAGGAAGAAGAGGAGGAGGAGGAGGAGGAAGAAGAGGAGGAGGAGGAGGAAGAGGAGGAGGAGGAGGAGGAGGAGGAGGAGGAGGAGGAAGAGGAGGA